TGCACAAGGACTCATGGGGAAAGTGGCAAATTTTCGTTCAAGTTAGTTTAAATATTTTTTTTTCAGCTTGTAGAACAGACAAGTTAAAATTCTTTATTGACAAATAAAATTAATTATTCTTATATCGCTTTGGATATGTTTATGTTTAAAGATATTTTAGATGAGCAGATGATGTCACCGTACGCGTTCACACGGGGATCTCGCCGCATGGACAAAAAGTCATGTTATTTGGACATTGGGATTCCCGATCTTGAACAGCGAGGTAATCTTTTATACATACACATAACGCGAGGTAGTCTTACTTTCATAGTTGTTTTCTCGGATTCTTTTAATTTTAATTTTGACACATTAAAATATACGAGGGTCATTCAAAAAGTTCCTAGACTTTTTCATAACATTTTTTTTTATTAAACGTCATATAACATCAAAATTTAGTACACATATTTAACAATCAATTCGAATAATTTGAGTAAAAAATTAGAATATATCTTCAAAGTAATGAAAATTATCAAAGATTTAGAACGGCAAAAATGGGGTAATGGGGCATCGTCAAAGCTGAGTAATTTACAAATTTTTACTTTTTAGTGTCTGCAGCCATACCTCTAATAAATGGAGCTGAAACAAAATAAAATTTACACGTTTAAATTAAGCCTTGCTGTATCACTTAAAATGCTATCAATTAATGTACAGTATAATATATATGGTATGGCTCCGATTAAAAGATATCAGTTCTCAATACATATGAACTTGATTAAAAAACTATGACGTTGGAGGACGTCATGGAGCAGCGAGTAGCAATAAAATCTTGCTTTGCATTCGGGAAATGTCTTTAACAAACTTACAAAATTATGTATAAACCAGGAAATGTATGAAAAATAAGCCGTGTTTTTGTATAAAATGGAAAATTTTGGAGTGGTAACGAGTTTGAATCGGGCGATGGATGGTCTGCAAAGAAACAGGTAATAGATTAAAATTTTGTTAAAAGAGTTATTAAACGTGATGGTCGCTTCACTGTTGCTGAACTAAAATTGTAACGCGTTAAAGAATTTTAAAACACTGACAATCTAGTTCAAATTAGTTAGCAAACTACAAATGTAGGTGGTAAGTATTATGGATACGTTTTTATGAATAGAGAAGACGCTACAAACCTTGTGTGAAATTAAAAAGTAGAGTAATTTTGAGAAACCTTCTCGACGTTGTTTTTGACGTTACAATGTTGGTTTACCGTGCTCCGTGGAAACAAAAAATGTTGCTTTAAAATTGGCTAAAAAGAGATCTCTTTAATCAAATGGAATAAAATTTCATTCTTCGACCAAATAAATGTTTTTATAAACGAAAATGTGTTGATCTATATCCTTGTTATTATTATATGGCCATAATGAATATTGTCTACTTATTTTTTGAATGACCCTCGTAATGATGTGATAAAACTAAACCTCACCAATATTTTTAAATAAGGTGACTTCCAGTTGAATCTTGCATATTTTCCCAGCATTCTTCAATTTAAAAATAAGATTTTAAATCATTCTTGCATATACTTGTTTCTCGCAAGATCCTTAAATGCTTTGTTATAACATACTTTGAAAAATTATGCACGTTGAATTTTTTTGATTGCGTTAAATTTAGGACCAAGTTAACGCACTTTGAAAAAATATATATCTATTTTTAAAGTGCATTCATATTAACCGTATAAAATTTTGAAAAAAAAAGAATTTTGAATGTCCAAAGAACTAAAACTCCATGTACATGTACTAAAGACATCAAGACTTCATAATACTTTTTTTTAAAATAATTTTTTTTTATTAGCTCACCTGCACCGAAGGCTCACGCAGGCTTTTTTGATCAAAATTTGTTCGTTGTCTGTCGTCAATGCGTCTCTGTAATAAACTTTTCACATTTTTATTTTTTTCTCAAGAACCACTGTGCCAATTTCGACCAAACTTGGTACAGAGTATTCTTGTGTTAAAGGCAAAGAATTTTCACCGGGTGGTAAATTCCAGGTGAGGGAAGGGCTTAATTTGTACAGATGTGAATGCCTTGGGGGCTAGCAGTCTACCTGTGGTTATCTTCTCCCAATCCCTTTACCCAGGAAGTGATTTAATACACAGTGGAATACCCCCAGGTGTCAAACATTACCTGCATTGGGGAATATGAGACAATTTTAAATTAGAAGTGAAAAGTTATAAGTAAAGTTTTTTTTCTGAATAATCGATATAGATTTAATTTTGGATTTTCTGATAACAGACCTACCCATTTAAAAAATTAATTATGATATCATAATATAAATTCAATTATTTAAACAAATTTTTTTTAGATGCTAGTGTATGTGTTAATTAAAAAAAGACTATTCCAGTAACGACCAAATTAGACATGATAGAAACATAAATATATTTTTTAAATCTAATTTATTAACACAGTGTTGATTTATACTTGATCAGTAATATTTCCACTTTAGGTTTTCTGTTAAGCATAATTTAATATCAAATTGCATTCGAAAAAAAGTTTTTATGTACCAAAGTTTATAATGTTTTTTAAAAATGTATATTACATGTACATGTATATAATAATCCTTTAAATACTAAAGGTATATTTAATTTTCATATATTATTAAGCTAAAAATTTCCATAGTGACACAGTTTCTCTATACCATGTTCGGTAAACATCAAAGTATCAAAAGTTAATTTGAAGGTCCCCACGAGTGCCATACAAGGTGTACAGGATGTACACAGGGACCAGTAAGTAAATGTTAATCGAGTTCCAGCATCCAGTGATGAACCTTCATTCCCTTGATTGACAGGGCTACCCAGACCAGGTTTTTGAAGGCGGTGCTTAAAATCTCTGCCTTTAAGGGATTCGGGTTTTTTTTTTAAATGAAAGGTCACGCCCTCTTCCAAGTGGAGATAAAAGCGAATTAATGAAAAATTAATGTCATTATTTTAAAAAGTCTTCTTCTCTAGAACAACTGAGCCAGGAAAGATAAACTCATGTTGAATCATCCTCAGGTAGTGTAGATTCAATTTTGATCAAATCATGACCCCGGAGGCAGGGTGAAGCCACAAGGGGGGATCAAGTTTTAAAAGGAAATAAATAGAAAAAAAACCTTTAAATATCTTCTTCCCAAGAATAGCAAAGTCATGATTAGTAATATTTATATGGAAGCATCCTCTGGTTGTGTAGATTCAAGTTTGTTTAAATCAAAAGCCCCAGGGGATTAGTGGGTACACAATGGAAGATCAAAGATTTTATATGAGAAAACAGATGGAAAAAAGGAAAAAAATCTCTTAAAGAACAGAAAAGCTATGTTTAGTTACATGTATATTGCCATGAGTGCATCCTCATGTAGTAAAAATTAAAATTTGCTAAAATCATGACCCCTTGGGGTAGGGAGGGGCCAAAATGGGGGATCAAATTGTTAGTAAGTAGTAATAAATAAGGAAGAAAATCTGTTTTAAAAAATCTTAAAAATTTTTTTTTCTCAAGAACAGCAAAGTTATATGTTATATTAATATAAAGGCATCTTCAAGTAGTATAAAATTCAACCCCTCCCCCTGTAAACTTTTCAATACAGAAATTATTTGCGTTTTTTCCTAGGTAATGTACTCATGTGGCCCATGGGCCTCTTGTTCTTTTTAAATATGGTTCTCAGGGGTACGTAAAATGGGGTTCAAGATTGTTTGCTACTTGAAAATAATCTTCCCGCACAACATGGTGATTTTTTATTATTTAATAAATTTTTAAAGTACATATGAAAAAAGTATTTATTCCCGCAGAATATGATGGCCTTTTCTCACAGCTGTTTGATTAGTATAAAAATGTGTTTTAGGTCACCTTATTCACTCAGGTGATCTATTGCTACCTATTTTCATCCGTTTTCCGTCATGAGTTTACTTTTGAACATTTTCAACTTCTCTAAAACGGCTTAACCAAGTTTGACATATAGCATTCAGGCGCGGATCCAGAAATTTTTTCCAGGGGGGGGGGGGAGGGGCCCACCTCAGTCAAAAAAAATCTAAACCCAGAAATTTCTTGACAAGCAAAAAAAAACAAACAAACAAAAACAAAAACTCGCCCTAACGTCAAAAACCTATTTCGGGGGGGGGGGGATAGTGGTGACTTCTATTGCCACAAATCTTTCACTTTTCATAACCATTCCACACATATTCGCGTTTACCAGGGGGTCTGCGTTTTCCAAGGGGGGTCCTTGGTAACTTTTTTTTTTGTTTAAGTATATACATTTTTAACCTGGTAAATTCCAGGGGGGGGGTACTGACCCCCCCCCATGACCCCCCTCTAGATCCGTGCATGGCATTAACGGATGAAGGAGAGCAACAATTTTAAATTTCATGGTTCCTCTGGGGCCTAAGAGATGGAACCAAAATCAGTCAAATTATTGCATTTATTGCAATCTGTAAAAATCGTCTTTGCTCCTAGTCATCAAGCAGACAAATTATTGGCATGATTGTAATAAACTTTGAGTCCTCTACCAAAATTGTGAAATTCATGACCCTAGAGTTAGGGGTTCTAGTGCTAAGACGGGGCTATATAGAGTATCCGAGGGGTGATCAAAAAGTTCGCGAACAAATTGAATTATTTCAAAAAATGGAATGATATGGGGTTTCATTTTTTTAAGTAGTTCTCTTCGATTTTAATGTGCATCTACAACTGTTCTTTCCACACGTGATCTTGGCGGTTACGTCACATGCATTGCTGCGTACTTGCGCTGACTCATATTTCTTACCATGTAAGTTATTTTTTAAAGCAGTCCATTTGTCAGAAATAACCAAATCTCGGCAATAGTATGGGTTGTTAAGGATGTCCTTTTTCAGATAAAGTAAATGATATTTATGATATTGTTAAGATATTTAACTATTTTTCTAACTGTCAAATTGGCGATCTTTTATATCAGATTGCTCAACTAAGGACGCATCTCTTCCCCAGCTTACTTCACTGGATAACAGAACATACATCAAATTTAAACATCTCTCTTCCTTCACTAAAAAAATCAATGCAATTAATGACTTAACTTCTGGCAAAGCTTTTGTCTTCATAAACCCCGTACAGATTATTTTATACTACTACAAAAGAATTTCCAAAATAAACGTTTAACTTTACAGCCGTTTGTTGTTCGAGTACGATAGTCAGCTTTTTGTTCAAGAGAATTACAGGAAATGCTTGAAGATTTATAAATATTGATTCAAGTCAAACATGAAAAAAACAACATTAAAAAATAATATGAAAACGGTGACAAGAGGTCTTTAATTGAACTAAAAATTTGCACAAATCAGACAGCGTTCAACCCTTTGTAAGAAAACTACGTTGAAAATTTCAGATGATTTAATCTTTAAGCATTAAGATTCCAATAATATTTGTAGTTGGATGTTACAAATAATGCGTATTATTTCATTTTATTATTTATTTAATAAACTAAAACAGGTTATCAAACCGTGCCGTGATGAATTAAAAAGGAAATGAGAGGCAATAAGAATTGAAATAATACATTTTAGTCCGCTTAAACTACAAAACTGAAAACAAGGTGAATATATACCTTCAGAATTAACCTACAGAATTAAGTGAGGATTACACAATTTCATGGAATGATATTGCAGTTAAGATAATATATATATATATTAGTTTAACTGCTTCTTGTTGCATTCTTCTACGAAGAGTGTCTGAAAAAATATTGTGGACAATTTATCTAAAAAGACAAAAAATGAGGACTGCGTCCTTAAAATTTTTTAAATGATTCCTTTTCACATTTTTCATCAGTATCTATTTTGAAATGTCAAACTTCGAATTGATATTCCGTTAAGTAAACTAAATATTCCAATTTATGTTATGATAATAAACACACGTTCGAGTTCCCCTTTACGAGGTCGGCTCCTGATATATAGAGTCTTAAACTATTTTGTCAAGTATATTTATAGTTTCTACATACATAGCTTAATTAAAAATCAAATCAAAAATTGGGGGTCAATATGCTTCTTTTGGCGATGCAGTACATTTATTATGACCTTTTTGCACTGAAATTTGTGTCTTAATCAAAAATTAGTTTTTCAATGTTTTCCCTGTAATATTTTTATCCAAATAAAGAATGGAACAAAAACTATAAGTTTATCAAAATTTCTTTAAAATTGTGACTGAGAAAAAGTTTCAAATTGCTTTGCAAAATAAATCATTTGACCTTTCTGCACTCACAAAATGTGATTTTTCTGGCATTAAAAATTTAATATGAAAGAAAATAATTTAAAAGTCTTAAACTTTTGCTGAATTTAAGTAGATAGGTCGAACTTATCTTAAATATTCAGGAAAGAACACCAAAAGTTAGGGGATGTGATGTGAATTTTTAAACATTACCAAAAAAGGGTCAATCTTATGTTAAAATTGGCTCAATTTTTTCCTAGACTTTCAAAATATATTTACTATATTTGTCATAATTCATAAGAAATAATTTAATAGATATTTCAGACCGAGCATAACACATTTCACTGCAAAAAAGAGCTTTTAGAGCAACCAGTATGGAAAAAGCTAATATAAAATTAACAGTACTGTATATGGTTCAAAAGGGAAAAATTGATCATTTTCTGCTAAAGAAAAAACCTTCCGCCACAAAATATAGTCCCTGCATGGCTTAATCCTACTTAATAAAATTTAATCGCGTTCTTATTTTTTCATTGAGTATCGTTGAATTTGCTTTATAGAATTCAAATTTAATGTTAGAATTTAAAAATGATGCAGAATTTTAGAAATTAAGGCCCAGACCGAAATCTGCTCAAATGCTCATCAGAATCGAACCTCCTTAAATCCTCTATAAACGGGCAAATGACCAATCTCGTTCACATATGTGGCCACCTGAATTTTGCTACCGTACGTTTTTAAAAGAACTCTTTCTACATTCAACTTATGTAATCTTTTTACGACGGTGTGCAGCGATTATAGTCTTTTGATGGTATCTTTAGTTGTTCGTCCGTATGCACATTCCTATTTAAACTTGTTTCTCCTTTATATCGGTATAATTCAGGCGTACTCCAAAAAGAAAGCCGTTGGACCACACTCTATGTGCATCTAAGTTTAATGAAATATATAGTTATACTATCTGTGTTTTATGAAAAAAAATAGAAATGAAACTTTTCGTTTTAGAAACATATGAAGATAGTATATGTGACGTATTTGATATACAAGCGGAATGTGATTTTGAGGGATCTGACATACCAAAACCTTCTGTGCCGATCGAGTTCAAAAAAGAAAAAAGTAAGATTTAATTTAAATTGAATGTATTTTTAAAAGTCAATTTAATTGGATGTTGAAACTTATCATTCTACTTCCTAACTCTCATGTTTCTCAAGCATATAGCTAAAGTTATTATTTAATTTAAAATTAGATAAATTTGAAGAATATTTCTTTGTCTTTCATTGTGTAAAAGTAACTTTTGTTTTAAGTTTGTTGGCCCACGCTATTACTAAGATTGGTTGATGTTAATCTTGGTCTGTGTGTCCGTCCGTCTGTTGTCTAACTGTATTTCGGTCTATTTAAAACACTTTCAATTCTGTTCGAAATCTCAAGAAACTCTTTGAGCTTTTGGAACTCCGTAGCAACTCCCTAGAGCCTAAATAAGACCCCTTTTGATTTGAGGTGTTGGAAAGGTCAAATGTCAAGGTAATAAATTCGCTAATTTGTGTTTTAACACTTTCGTTTCTGTGCGATATCTCGAACCTTTTATCCTTTGAGTAAAATTTAATACCACAAATACCTTTGGAACAAGGAAGATTCCTATTTATATTAAAAGGTCAAAAGTTCAAAGATGTACGTCGTAAATTAATGTATTCTGTCTGTGTGTTGAATCTTTAATACCAGGCAATATATCAAGAAGCTTGATTTATTCCATGACTCCCCATGATCCAGTCCGACCTTCTTAAAGAGTCCCCATCCCCTTTTGCCTATCCCCTTATGACGCCCTCTCGATCGGTGCATGATCTTCCTTTTTTTCAAGCGAGGGACACAGATTCTATGAATAAGCTGTTTAACAAAAACTCATTTCTAACTCTTCGATTCAACTAAAACTGAGGTTGTCAGGTCATGGAAGATATAGTAATTTTCTAAAGGTTGGGGTTTAAGTATCTATTTCTTTAACAGAGGGATTAAAAGAACATCAAACAATACACTGGATTTGGACACATCATATAGACAAGTTGAATACCTTTACATATTATAATTCTCTTATCAATTTAACATTTTTTTCTAATTAATCTGCCGTTAAAACTGTTAATGAACAAGAGGCCCAGGGGCCACATCGCTCACCTGAGGAATTGGCTAGGAAAAAACACAGATCAGATCAGAACTGAAAGTAAACTGGGGGGGGGGGGCTTGAATTTTACACTGGAGGTCATGATTTGAACAAACTTGAATCTACACTACCTGAGGATGATTCCCTATAAATATAACGAAGCCTGGCTTTGAAGTACTTGAAAAGAAGATTTTAAAAGGTTTCCCTATATGTTCCTATGTAAAACTTTGATCCGCTATTTTGGCCCCACCCTACCCCCGGGGGTCATGATTTGAACAAACTTGAATCTACACTACCTGAGGATAATTCCACATGAGTTTAATCTTTCCTGGCCCATTGGTACTTGAGAAGAAGATTTTAAAAGATTTTTCCTATATATTCCTATGTAAAACTTTGATCGGCCATTTTGGCCCCACCCTACCCCCGGGGGTCATGATTTGAACAAACTTGAATCTACACTACCTGAGGATGATTCCCTATAAATATAGCGAAGCCTGGCTTTGAAGTACTTGAAAAGAAGATTTTAAAAGGTCTCCCTATATGTTCCTATGTAAAACTTTGATCCGCCATTTTGGCCTCACCCTACCCCCGGGGGTCATGATTTGAACAAACATGAATCTACACTACCTGAGGATGATTCCACATGAGTTTAATCTTTCCTGGCCCATTGGTACTTGAGAAGAAGATTTTAAAAGATTTTTCCTATATATTCCTATGTAAAACTTTGATCGGCCATTTTGGCCCCACCCTACCCCCGGGGGTCATGTTTTGAACAAACTTGAATCTACACTACCTGAGCATGATTCCACATGAGTTTCATCTTTCCTGACCCAAAGGTTCTTGAGAAGAAGATTTTTAAAGATTTTCCCTATATATTCCTATGTAAAACTTTGATCCGCCATTTTGGCCCCACCCTACCCCCGGGGGTCATGATTTGAACAAATTTGAATCTACACTACCTGAGGATGATTCCACATGAGTTTCATTTTTCCTGGCCCAGTGGTTCTTGAGAAGAAGATTTTTAAAGATTTTTCCTATATATTCCTATGTAAAACTTTGATCGGCCATTTTGGCCCCACCCTACCCCCGGGGGTCATGTTTTGAGCAAACTTGAATCTACACTACCTGAGGATGATTCCCTATAAATATAGCGAAGCCTGGCTTTGAAGTACTTGAAAAGAAGATTTTAAAAGGTTTCCCTATATGTTCCTATGTAAAACTTTGATCCGCCATTTTGGCCTCACCCTACCCCCGGGGGTCATGATTTGAACAAACTTGAATCTACACTACCTGAGCATGATTCCACATGAGTTTCATCTTTCCTGACCCAAAGGTTCTTGAGAAGAAGATTTTTAAAGATTTTCCCTATATATTCCTATGTAAAACTTTGATCCGCCATTTTGGCCCCACCCTACCCCCGGGGGTCATGATTTGAACAAACTTGAATCTACACTACCTGAGGATGATTCCACATGAGTTTCATTTTTCGTGGCCAATTGCTTATTGAGAAGAAGATTTTTAAAGATTTCTTCTCTATATTCCTATGTAAAACTTTGATCGGCCACTTTGGCCCCACCCTACCCCCGGGGGTCATGATTTGAACAAACTTGAATCTACACTACCTGAGGATGATCCGAAATGAGTTTCATCTTTCCTGGCCCAGTGGTACTTGAGAAGAAGATTTTTAAAGATATTTCCTATATGTTCCTATGTAAAACTTTGTTCAGCCATTTTGGCCCCACCCTACCCCCAGGGGTCATGATTTGAACAAACTTGAATCTACACTACCTGAGGATGATCCCACATGAGTTTCATCTTTCCTGGCCCATTGGTACTTGAGAAGAAGATTTTTTAAGATTTTTTCTATATATTCCTATGTAAAACTTTGATCGGCCATTTTGGCCCCACCCTACCCCCAGGGGTCATGATTTGAACAAACTTGAATCTACACTACCTGAAGAAAATTCCACATGAGTTTCATCTTTCCTGGCCCAGTGGTTCTTGAGAAGAAGATTTTTTAAAAATGCCATTATTTTTTCTCTAATTCATAATTATCTCCCCTTAGAAAAGGGCCTGGCCCTTCATTTGAAAAACTTTAATCCCCTTCACCCAAGGATACTTTGTACAAGGTTTGGTTGAAATTGGCCCAGTGGTTCTTGAGAAGAAGATGAAAATGTGAAAAGTTTACGACGACAACAACGACAACGACGACAGACAACGGACAAATTTTGATCAGAAAAGCTCACTTGAGCCTTCGGCTCAGGTGAGCTTAATAATAATAATTTTCTGATTCTTAATGCTTAATAATAATAATTTTCTGATTCTGGGCAATTTGAAAACCATCTATCCTTTTGTATTCAATAATCCAGAAGTGAAAAAAATATAGATTACATGATCAGTACGTACTGACAAAGCTGGTAACAACATTTGTCTTCGGTTGAAAGGCTCGTTATATAAATTGTATTTTATAAGAACGTGGATTTAATTCTACAAGTGGTGATCCATCTTATATTCATAGTTCCTTTTCTAAGGAAGAAATTCTTAAAAATCATGTCCGTTTTGGATATTTTTCATTTCTTAAAGAACCAAAATGAATTTGAACTACAATATACAATATACGCATATATTGGATTCCGAAAGTTCATAATAATCTTAACAAACAAAGATACATGGCGGATTCCAGTAATTTTTTTCTCTACTCCTCACTAAGACATTAACGGAAGTGAAGGAGAAACTTCTAGAGTACTGTCGATAATATATTCTAGAAATGGTGTAAATCAGATGTGGATATTAAAAAGATACAAGGAACTTTTGGACAATTTAAAATCACAAGATATGACCAAAATCAACAGCTGAAAAAAACGTACGACTTTTCAACTTTATAACAACAACAATTTCCCACGATAGATTAAAGTCCAGGATATCTGATATCATCGACAGCTGCCTTTTCAATAAAAATGGAACTCATAAATTTCTTACTTTGTCATTGATCATTTGCAAAATTACTTTGTTAAAAAACATTCTGATTGTACTCATACACAGGAAAGTACTCTGAAGTTAACATAAAAAAGATGCTTGAGTTTCTGATTGACAATATATATGTTGTTTTCGAGATCAGGTCTTCCAAAAATCTATTGAAATTCCCATGGGTACCAATTTTGCCCCGTTATTAGAAGACCTATTTTTGTATTCATATAGAGCAGAATTTGTGCAAAATATTATGCGTTACTCAACATTTATGTATATTGACGACGTATTGTTTATTAAAAATGGTTATTTCCATTCCCATGTCCATACGATAAATCCTGGTAAGCTTGAGATGTAAGATACCACAGAGTCAGATACATCTGTTTCATATTTAGATATTTTCTTGAAAAGGTACGACGTTAGTTGTAATCTAACAACCAAGATCTATAATAGTGACATGTCGGTAGGGGATGCTCACTCCTCCGTGGCACCTGATCCAACCCTGATGTTTTAGAAGTCCGTATTTGCTCTGCTCATATCTTGTACTGTTTTATGGACTTTTGATCTTTAATGCTGTTTGACATTTCCCTTATTTTTATATAAAATTAATACTTATCAATTGTATATGTATTCGGTTGAGAAATAAGTCAATTTCATTTTAAAGTAATCAATTATATCTCTACTGTTATAATTCTATATAAAATTAATACTATACTACAACGATAATTCTTCGAAATGTCAGTAAAATTCTTTTTCAAAAAATTATTTTATTGTCCTCGGTAAAGATGCATTGGATACAATCTTACAATCTATTGAACCATTGGAATTTGTGATTATTTAAATGTTATTTATTATTCTTGTATGTTTAAAAATGTCTGGATAACAGGTTTAATAAATCACCTCTATGATTGTTTCGGTTGGGAGAAAAACAGTTATGGATTGGGTACTCGAGAAACATAATATTTAAGGTCCGCCGAGGGAGGGAAGTCTTTTCCTGTCGAGTGGAACAATGAATTTGACATTTCCCGAGTACCCATTCCATAACTGTATAATACTCTAAAGAATATATTAGATTGAAAAAAGAAGTGAAAATATAAAACTCTGTAGCAAACATATTTTTTTAAAAATTCATTTTCAAAAGACAATGATTTTCTTTGAAGGAAATCATCCCATGAAGATGTTAAAATTGATTGAGAATCAGAAATTTGACGGATCTTGGGAGTTAACAGAGAAAATCTCACAAATACTCGGCAAATTACATGATGAAATAAAAACATCTGCAACGATACAGGTAAATTGTATAAAATGTAAAGTAATTTTAATTTGTTATATACGATACATTGGAAGTTTTGTTCAAAGTTAAAGAGTTGCATACAGTTACACCTGTTTGATATAAACTACTCTCAAAGCAAAACTAGGTCAAACCTAGTGAAAAATTATATTCTATGCCTGATGATGTTACAAACCCTTAATAAATTTGAAGAAAAGAGAGTATAAGTATAAGTATGTATCTGGTTATTCAAGTCATACACATAATTAAAGATTTAATTATATGCTTTATTACCTACAGGATGTCAATGTTTGGACGACAGCTCTTGCAATTGCATTTTTGAGAAAGTATTTCATGAAACAAAGAGATGAATGGGAGATGATCGAGGAGAAAGCGTTGAACTGGTTGAAGACAAGAGATGTTGAAGGCAAAGATGTCGTACAGGAAGCAATGACTTTTTTATCAACCTAACAGTTTTGTAACTTCAGTGCTATTTCAGCCTGATAATAACATTCCTTTTGTGGAAATTTTACTACACATATCTTGTATGTTACATATCGCTACAGTTCATGCAATACAATAACTCTCATGTATTCTTAAAAATACTGTCAGTGTAAGGATTCAAAGTTCTCGATGATTACTGTAAGAATCGCTTTCGTACATTTATAACTTGGATTATCAGTTATCAAATATATTTCAGTTTATGAAGTCCAAAATAGTAAAATTGCAAGTAGCCTATACATTGATTTTGTTTTCCAACTATTCATCTTGACTATATTTAATACAAAAGTACTTTATATAGTAGTTTTAATAGTCAGGTATTTTTGAAAATGGTAGATAAACTAGACAAAAAATAAACCTATTCTTTGTTCCATAAATGTTTTTCAAAGACCGAAATAGCTTAACGCTAATGAGAGAGGGAAAGGTTTGCTAACACTGCTCAAGAACTTTTGTTTTTTGTACAGGAAACTTAAAATTCAACATCACAAACAGTGAAAACGACATTCTTATGAAATAAATTTTAAAAAGCCTTAAAAAGAATTAAACAAAATCTATGAAAAAAATCCAAAGATGCATATATGTATATAACGTGTAGAGCTAACTATATTAAATATTTAAAATGCACCACGTACGCTTATATTATATGATAAAACGAGTGCATACAAAATTTTATAATAGAAAACCTACTTGATGGTGAAAATTCTAAAGGTTTTTATTGCAAAAATTAAATTTTGATTTAATTAAATATGATATAATTTTAACAATAGGTCGTATTTTGGCTAACGTGCTCAGCACTAACAGTTGACTTTTAAAATTTGAACTTACCTCTCCCAGCTAGGAACCTGAGTGTTTTATGTCATGTTTACAGAAAAGTATTGTTTGTAAACTTTGTAAGATTAAGGAGGCTAGGGGACCCACAAATCAACCACCAGATTTACCTTAATTTTTTTAGGTATGATATCTCAAGCTGTCAACTATCATTTGGCAAAGAAAAATTCAAACATTTTAGTTTTAGAATTTTATCATTTTTGTATATTTTTAAATGGAACTCTTCTTCTGAAGGAGATCAAAATCGTCTAAAAATGGCCACACACCACCAGCCCCTTTGATCACTGTGTGTTATCTCTACCTGTCATTGCTAGATCCCACAATTTATCTTTGGAATGATTTTTATGAAATAGTATAATAATGTGGTGGTAATTAAAAATCAATTTGGTTGTTTTGAATATTGAAGAAATTTTTGTTCTGACATTTAAATTTGAAAAGTATTTTCCTTAGTGTGTTTCATATGTTGGAGTAATATTTTTAAATCTAAATTCTTCAATATCAATTGTACTATTTATCAATGCTAATCATAAAATTATATTTTGTGACTATTTGTTGAGCTGTTGTTTTTTGATATTTTGTTTTCATCGGTATTCCGTCATTTTGAGGTTATCCTCAGATTTTGACAACTTCTAATTATGACGTAATCTTACAGTAATGAGCACCGCCATTGAATGTAAACAGTTAAAAATGCAATTTAAAATTAAGGATGAAAAGTCATAATTTTTTTAAGAGTTTGATAGCTCCTTTAATGTCATTCATGAAAGGAAAACTAGTAATATTTAGAAAGACCTCATTACCCAATTCCACTGATAGAAAACGAAATACATGTCAAAAATTTAAAGTAAATTAGATATTTTTTCTAATGTATTTTCCAGTAGTGTTCTCCAACATTTTAACTCATTTAAACATCCAGATAACAAAATCTTATGTGATTTTGTCTAAAAATTCTTTATTGACATTTGTTTGACGGTACCTCCCTGCCCTCCCCCCAATGAAAATAATTTTTCTCCTAGGGAAATCTTATTTCTCTAAGCTTATTTGCATCTGCGATGTCAGTACAGGAAAAATTTTTCCTGGTAATCGATATTTAGACTTCCTTTGCGGGAAATCTGCTAAATTTTTCCTGTAGTGAAATTCGAACAAAAAAGTTACCATTACTTTATTATTTCATTTTGATATATGTACATGTTTAAGGGGCCTCTGTAAATACATGTTATCTTATAAAACAAGTTTAGAACCATTGCTTCTCGTCACCATTATAAAATGAATTCTTTGATTCAACATTTTGTGTTATTGATATATTTTTGGGTATAAAGAGTGCAAATATGTGTTGTCAGTTATCGAGCAATCTGGCACATTTAATGTGTGTTTTCTGTCAGACAAATACCTGTATCTGATAGAATTTGTTAAATATATTTTACTTTGTCATAATTCTACAAAACGTTGTGACGATTTAATGTTAAGTATCTAAACAAAATGCTCTCTAAAACTATCAGATATCATTTGACACACAGCACCGATCTATCAATAGACCAGTTTGACTGTTTTATTTTAACTCTCAACTTTTTCTTTAAAATTAATGAATCCATTTGAAAAGTATTCAGCGTTTATGATATTTTTTCACGTATAAAATCATATCTTAAATATGAGTTGTTATGCGATTAATTAAAAGCATAATTTTCACATACGTTTTCATTCCCATTTTCTTGACAGAGATAAATTATTCACATATGGCTCAGTGTTTTTAATGTCTTTGCAAGGACAATAGAAAAAATAGTTTCTTTCTGTGGTTCAGGAGCTCTTTAGTAGAACTTTTCAACCGTAAAAAAATTAAATGCTTCCATGTTTATCATGATACTGGTGCACGGTATATTGCATTACTTATTGAACACACCTCGTATATGAAAGGATTTCTTCCTGTTTACTATTGATTATTCCTAACATTATAAATGAAAAGGTACTGCGTAATTTATCTATTTTTAGACATGATGGGGTTTTCCTTTTGTGCGTAACACAAATTAACATTATTTACACCTAAGTGATGACGGTTTATCATATTTAGCTATCAAATAAATGACAAGAAAAAAGATTTCCTTGAAAAATTCCTATTCGTCGACTGTTCAGGTAAGGAGATATAAAACTTTTAATGATTTGAACATTTATTGTTATTGTGACAAATTAGGTCAGCAAATTTCATAGATACATGTATATTCAAGATCAATATTTGATCAAATGGATAATTTTTAATGGAAACCTTTAATTTCTGTATCCTATAATAAACACCTGGAATGTAACAAACAAATACTTGTTGCACAAGTATCTATAATTTGTACGTTTTACTTGTAATCAAAATGGGTGATTGACAGTCCCAAATACACAATATATAATGACATGTGAATGTTCATGATGCACGTAGTTATTTCCTGTCATCAGATCTGAAGATGCTTATGTTGCTATATCTTACTGATCACCCTTTTCCTTTTCGTACAATACGTTTTTTTATTAAACTGTAACACAAATAGCAGATAAAGAAAAAATAGAATTGCATGTTTTGTTGACTACTTTAAAATCTTTGTAGTTTAAATTTATTTATATCAATGATTCAAACACACCAGACTTACAGTGTAGCTTATTTTTAGCGTTATCCTATTTTCTTTATTTTACTGAAAGTTTGACTTTACTAATTCAGCATTGTAACCGTTAAAAGTGAGTTGCCACTTTAGCAGTCATGAGTCGTGGATCCAGGTATGGACTTATGTCACTGACCGAAAATCGATGTGGTAAGTTACACATGTTTAACAGACATTGTATCGTGTGTATCTAATCATTTAAGATATTCCCTTTGAGGTATTATCTTTATTTACCGTTTATATCTTAATTGTGGTCTTGTTTAAGAGTCCCAAGTAATGAAATAATTGAAATGTTCTGTACTATGTTGTTATTTCTTATTTATCCCATATTTACTCATTTATCCCGTTGACATCACTCATTGAATATTTGTTGTTATACTATGATATTGACTTAATGTGAAAAATACAAGTACATTATATTCACCTGCAACTGACCGAAAAGGTGTGTAACAGAATTTATTTACTTTAAATCAATCTAAATATATATTGGGAAATTCCAAATTGATACAAATAGTTTTCAAAAGCCATTTCCCTTGCTACCGATCTCCTAAAAACAATTCACTCCAGAACGTAATTATTTCTTTTGATTTTGAGAAAAAAAAAAACATTCATCGACCATGTTAAACCAAATTTTCCGAAAACGAATGTATTGTCGTTTTGATGGGCCTAGATTGCAAGAAAAAACGTCTGTTTCCGACGATGTGACTGGTCAATTTTTTTAGCTTTCATTTTTACTGATAATGCTCCCCTTTCAAAATCGATCTTATAAAAGAGCCTGAGATGATCCTTTTTATTGTTTTATAGCAACTTAAGAAGATCTAAAATTTTAAATAAATACAAAGTTCTGATTTTTTTTAATCGTGTTTCTCTCATTACGTTAGGTAAGGACCCGAGTAAATGTAAACAAGCCCCAGTAAATGTAAACAAGTAGATGCCATTAAATTCAAGTCAAGTTTGTATCATTCAATTATTGATTGTTTGTTGTTTAACGTCCCCCTCGAGAAATTTTCACTCATATGGAGATGCCACCACTTGTAGTGGAGAGTAAAAGTTCATTTTTACCTATACTCGGCAAACTAAAGGTTATTGAGCAGTGAAAATTGTGATCTTTTTTCTGGTGTAAATATATAGTGAAAATGCATTTATTCGGGACTTCTTTGTTTATACGCATTCAATTATTGAAATATTTAATAAAACATTTATTGCTGTTTTAGCACACCTGAGCTTTTTGTGTTAGGCTGGGTTCTATTGATTATATAGTGATATATATATATATATATATATATATATATATATATATATATATAGAAAGCACATAGAAATTCACTAAAATTTACATTTTATGGCCCCAGCCCGGGGGGTTCTAGTGTTACCTTTGTTGATTATATATAACTGTATCTAACTTCTATTTTCAGTGATTAAACAAAATAATAGTACATAGTTATGATGAAGCGTACCTCTTTCAAAATTGTGAATTTCATCGGCATCGAAAGCAAGTTTTTGGGATTGATTATATAGCCTAAAAATACATTGATTCTTTGCGCGCTGTTCACTGCACTGCTGTATTAGAACCAATGAACTATTAACATAGTTATGATTAGGAAGGATGCCTCTTCCAAAATTGTCAATTTCATGGCCCCTGGGTCAGGTGTTCTGGAGTTAGGGTGGGGTCTCCATTATATAGTGAATTTCATTGTTCTTTGAATATTTTTCTTTCTTCACTTAGGGCAGTTATGTTAGTTTAAGAGTTGTTGTATATATATTATATATATATATATATATATATATATATATATATATATATATATATATATATATATTTGAATTTAATGGCTCTTTGGTATTCACAATTTAAATTATGATGAAACAAAAATTTTACAATTTTGATATTTGTGCTTCCTGTTGGGTCCTTGGACCTAACTGGTTACATGAGAGAAATGCATTTTTTTCTTCAGAACTTTGTATTTATTTAAAAATAATTAGTGTATAATTATGATAAGAACAGTGCCTCTTTCAAAATTTTTCCAATTTATATATATATATATATATATATATATATATATATATATATATATATATATATATATATATATATATATATATATATATATATATATATATATATATATATAAAATCAAAAAATTTTTTAAATCGTGTTTCTCTCATTGCGTTTGGTAAGGACCCGAATAAATGTTAACAAGTAGATGACATTAAATTCTGGACGAGTTTGTATCATTCAATTATTGATTGTTTGTTGTTTAACGTCCCCCTCGAGAATTTTTCACTCTTATGGAGATGCCACCACTTGTCGGTGGAGAGCCACAATTGTTTACCTATACTCGGCACTCAAGGTTATTGAGCAGTGAGGGATCTTTTTCGTGGGAATACCTACTGTGACACGGGACCTAAATTTATACGCATTCAATTATTGAATCACATTATAAAACGCTTATTGCTGTTTTAGCACACCTGAGCCGATCGAAGGTCTTATCAAAATTTGTCCGTTGTCTGTCGTCGTTGTTGTAAACGTTTCACATTTTCATCTTCTTCTCAGGAACCATTGGACCAATTTCAACCAAACTTGCCACAAAGTATTCTTGGGTGTGGTATTCATTTATGTGGAGGTTAACTTAGGTATACATAAAAAAAATATTTCTTTTTAAAAAAATCTTCTCTTCAAACACCAGCGGGCGAGGAAAGATGAAACTTATGTATAAGCAACCTCATGCAGTGTAAATTCAAGTTTGTTCAAATCATGATCCTCGGGGGTAGGAGAAGCCACATTCGTTATCAAATTTTAACATAGGAAAACATAGGAGAATTTTTTAAAATCTTTTTCTCAAAACCACAACAAAACCATGAATCATAAATATTGGAATTATCCTCATGTAGGTGAAGATTCAAATTTGTTCAAACCATGACCCATGGGTATGGGTGGGACAACAATTGTTCAATAAGGTTATATAATTTTTTTGATAATTCTTCTTCTTGAGAACAACAAAGTTGTGATTGGTCATAGTTATATTGAAGCATTCTTGGGTAGTTTAGATTCAAGTTTGTTCAAATCATGATCCCCGGGTATAGGATGGGTCCACAATCGGGGTATCAGAGTTCAAAATTGGAATACATTGGAGAAATCTTTTAAAAAATCTTCTTCTCAAGAACCAAAGGACCAGGGAAGATGAAACGCATGTAGAATCATCATCTGGTAGTTAAAATTGAAGTTTGCTCAAATTATGTCCCCTGTATGTAGGGTGTGGCCATAATGTGGAATCACAGTTTAACCTAGAAATACATTAAAAAAATCTTTAAAAAGCTTCTTCTCAAGAACCAGTGGGCCAGAAAGGAAGAAACACATGAAGAAACACCCTCTCTTACTGAAGATTCAAGTTTGTTAAAATAATGCCCCCCTGGGGTAGGGAGAAGCCACAAAGAGGGAATCAAATTTTAACATAGGAAAACATAGGAAATTTTCTAATAATCTTTTTCTCAAAGACAACAAAACCATGATTGATCATAGTTATATTGAAGCATCCTCTGTAGGTGAAGATTCAAGGTTGTTCAAACCATGACCCATGGGTATGGGTGGGACCATTTGTTCAAAGAAGGTTATATAGAATTTTTTTGATAATTCTTCTTCTTGAGAACAACAAAGTTGTGATTGGTCATAGTTATATTGAAGCATTCTTGGGTAGTTTAGATTCAAGTTTGTTCAAATCATGACCCCAGGGGTTAGAGAGGGGTCATAATGGGGTATCAGAGTTTTATATACGAACACATGAGAAAAAAAATGTTCATGAGAAAAAATTAATTTAAAAGCATCATTAAAGTGGATCAAAACAATAAAGCCATTGTGTATCATATTAACTCAAAGGCGTTCTTAGAAAGTGTAGATTTAAGTTTGTTAAAATACCCCACCCTATCCTCCCTAGAACCCAATTTTGTAATATATTTTAACTTTTCAATAATGAACTGCTTTTTGCTTTAACCTAGTTGGTTGCTCAGGTGAGTGATGTGGCCCCTGGGCCTCTTGTTAAATCAATACAAGGGTTTAGTTTATACATGTACAATATACACTTCACCATTCGACTTCGGTGTATATTTTACTTCTAAGGTGGTTAATTCATAGTGTTGACCTCAAAAATAGCAAATATTGTATAATATCCCACAATTGTGACGTCACAATTGGTTTTGCATCAGAATGTTAAAGTAAAATGAACATGATTCCTATATTAATCAGTGTAAAACATTGATGGTGATGTAAAAACATTGACAAGAAGGAACTGTTGATGATTTGTACACGCTGTAGTTGCATAATGATTTTTATTTAATTCGTTATGTTTGTGTTTTTTATACTTGATCGAGTTTTACACAAAAATCAAATCCAACCAGAATATCATGCGAGATACTATGATTATTTTTGTTCTTTCCTGATTGAAAATCAATTATTTACAGTTCCGCTTAAGAAAACCAACATTCAGGTGGCAATCCATGGCTTAGTCGCCAACGTGACCTCTGACCTTCATTATGTTAACGACTCGAACGAGAACATTGAGACAGAGTTTGTCTTCCCACTGGACTCCGAGGCAGCTGTTTATAAGTTTGAAGCTGAGATAGACGGTAGAACCATTGTAGCAGAGGTTCAAGAGAAATCACAGGTTAACATACATTTATTTTATTTAAAATCCATACACTGTGTTAATATACATTAGTTGCATGATATTATGGGAAATATGACTTTCAGCCAAGAAATTTCATATTCCAAGAGGGCTTCATATTTTCCCGAACATTCATTTGATTCTCTAAAAAAAACATTAGAAAATATATATTTTTGTCTAAGGCAAAAGAGACGTACCAAGATGCCGTTGCTTCTGGCCATACTGCAATGTACATGGGAGAAGATGACAACGCTGGAGATATATTTCGTCTCAAACTCGGAAATCTCCCGGCCAGGAAAGCAGCCAAACTCACATTTGCTTACGCAATGGAGCTGGATTTGTCCTCTGATAAAACAGGGACATTTATGTTGCCAACAGTTCTCAATCCAAGATACGTTCCTGACTGTTGTAAGTCTGAGAGAATATTTTCTCCCTCTAGGTTGTTTTTATATATACTGAGTAAATTTAAAGATCAATGGGATGTCTAAAAATTAGTAAAGTGAAAATAAATAGGTTGAAGATTACAAACAGCGATGTATGTATACATATCTAGTTAAATTTATCATATTAAAATGAACTGCTTCAAACCCATTACGCTAAAGCAATGTTATATAACTGTAACATTATTCCTCACTTTTTATTTTCTCTGGACCTTTTTTAAAAAGTAATTCGAAACTATAAATCACATCATGCTTAATAATTTAATGCCTTTTATTTCTAAATAAAAACTCATGGTAAAAAAGGATACCACTGTCATCAATTGCACTGGGATATATCTCTTTGTATATTCTTCATTTTGAAGCATCAAAAGACGAATCTAATTCAGAGGAGACTGACACAACAATGACAACATGTAAAACAACCGAAAGTGATAATGGAATTATATACTGCTCAGACTTTACATTGAATTTGGATGCTGTAGTAGATGGTGGTAAAAGCCTTATAGTTTCCGAGAACAAGATGGAGTTTGATGTGGTTGCAGATAAAATCGTTAATAAGGTATGGACTCGTCACAACAGTTCCTTTTTACGCATATTTTTAGAAAAGATATATGCGTACTGAAGTGTACTACCCTAGTCATCGTTGTCGGTGTCCCAGGTCACAGTTTTGGTGCAGATTTTCATTTACATCAGAGATGCATTGAAGATGCTCATAATATGTAATTTGTACCTGCACCAGGTAAGGTTTCAGATGCTGCTGTTCTAGCATCAGAATGGCCACGTTCTCTCAGCAGATTAACGTTTTTATTTCAGGTTTTAACTTTTTTAGAGCAAGTCTCATTTCCAAGTCACTATACGCCTTATGTTAACCAATCTTGCACGATCATTCGTGCACGAATTATACATCTAGGGATGATAACTTCCAGCCTTGGTTTGGATGCTGGATCTCTATAAGTTCTATAAGATAAAAATTGCATAAATATTGCATTAAGGGTGGGAATTCACCTAATTTAAAAACACTATTCATCAATTTGAACTGAGTTCTAATTAACCATATTTATTTTTACCAACAGAGTATATTGGTTATTAAAAGTTTTTGGGATATAACTACAGACTTTTCCATGATTTTAATTTTTATGTCCTACAGATGACATCATCAAAACAGCTCAAACATGGATCTGATTTTACAATTGTTTTACACTACAAAGGATTTGAAAAGCCAGGGGCAGTGCTAGAGAAAGGAAAGGAAGACGGCAAAAGTAAGAAAATATAAATTTAATTCGCCAATTTTATTCACCAATCTCTTTTCCTAATTCAAAGACCACTTTCATTTGTTTGTTCATTGTTTCTTACAGAACCATTTTTATCGACGGATGTACTGATGATTAACTTTTCTCCAGAATTCAAAGACTTGGACACAAACGTGCCGTGTGAATTTGTTTTTATAATTGACCGTTCTGGTAAGTCGTGAAATCAAATTTATGTTTAAATTTTTAAAAAGTCATTTTTAGATACATTTGTATTGTGAATCATCATTCACATATGTATATTATAAGATTGGTGATTGATTGATGGTATATTGTTTACGTCACTTTTGAGAATTTTTCACTTATGTAGAAACGTCACCATAAACCGGTAAAGGACTTCAAATTTTTAATTCTCCTCGGCACCTAGGGCAATTGAGCATTGCGGAATCTTTATCTTGCCAACGCCTGTCGTGGCACGGGACCTGCAACTTTTACTTTAAGTCCCTGGCGCGGAACAAAGGAACGGCTGACTCCCCTTTTTTTATCGACCCAGGTCAGTCGCGGTCGAGATTCGAAATCAGGACCTCCTGATCACGTTTCAAGTACACTGAGCTACCTTGAATCGTCACATGTTTAAGGAATCATCGTTGACACATATATATTTAAACAATCGAAATACACATGTATGTAGCTGTATATTCTTAAAAATACCTATATAACTCGTGATCCGTTTAAAATTTAATTAGTATTTACATAAGGCCATTAAACAATGAAAGATTTTTTTGGGGCCAAAATCTCGATCTGCGATAAAATGTGCTCTCCTTGTCACAATTTGGAAAGTAACGGGAAAAAATCCAACCACAATTCAGTGTGTAAATAACAGTCTAACAATAAGTATGAAAACACCAGTCAGCATTTGACTGATAAAATTTATTTGATGACAAGGTAATTAAAATGACCATAATACTTACAAAATGATGACTTTAAAGGAGACTGCTGATTTTTTTGTTTCAGCAAATTGTTTGTCAATAACTTACTTCGTTTTAAAAATGTTTCATATAAATACTCTATATATATACTCTTGCGTATCGAAATAACTGAGTGATGAAAACCGCGCGAATGCAGTTGATGAAGTTATATTGCTGCATAAGTAAGGGAAGTTGACAAATGAAAAGTTAAAGCTATCTCGTTTGTAATACAGTTTGGTTGTTAGAATACAATTACCGTCCTTTTGAAGAAAATTATCTTAATATGTAACAGATGTGTCAGACTTTATGAAAATTAATGGATTTCAACTTACATGTAATATAAAATGAATGATATTTTGATTAGGGTCAATGCATGGATCTCGAATTAAGAAAGCCAAGGAGACTTTACTGTTGCTTTTGAAGAGTCTTCCTGTACAATGTATTTTCAATGTTGTCAGTTTTGGATCAAGATTTTATACTTTGTTCCCAAAGTAAGTTTTGATCATTCTGAGAAAGAGTCACAAAAAGAAACATAATTTCAGTACGTAACGCAAAATAATCAACTTATAGATATACTTAAATTAACTTTATTCCGAAATAAAGCTCCCAAAGAAAGAAACTAGAGATGAAACAAGTTTGCTTGTATTCAAGGAGTGAAGAATATAATGAAGAAAACCTAGAAGAAGCTTTAAATCTACAAAAGACGATGGAAGCTGATATGGGAGGAACAGAGATCTTCAGGCCTCTTGAAAATGTCTTCAGTAACAAACTCTCTTGTTCCTATGCTAGACAGGTGAGCCATTTTATCTTAACTGAGCTGAAAGCTCATTTGAAGTTTTTCTGATCATGCACTCTCCGTCCGTCGTCCATCTATCTGACTGTTAACTTTCCCATTTTTATGTTTCTTGAAAACCTCTGGGCCAATTTTAAGTAAAGTTAGTAAAGAGCATACTCGGGATTTCAATTGTCATAAGAAAAAACAAAGCTCCCGCTCCCCTTTCAATGAGAGATAAGAGATATGAGATAACCATGTCAAAGCTGTGGCCTATAGGCTTTTTTTTTTTTACATCAATATAAGTTATCAATAAAAAAAAGAATTCTGAAAAAGAAAATTAAATAAATGTTATAATTCTTTATATGAGCAAAGAAGCAGTGAAACTGGGAAGCTTTGTTTATGAACTAATAAGATGAGTTATCAGGCTAGACAAA